GGCACAACACTTTAATGTGGACTGTCATTAGACCTCTGAGCATCCACACCTCCCACTGGACTGTCCTTTCTGGCTGCTTGGTGCAGAGCCCCCTCAGGACTCTGTGATGAGCAGTGGAGGCACTGAAGTCTCCAGTGAACTGAGAGCTGAAATATAAAAAAAGCACCTGGTCTTGCTAGGGAGAAAGGTCCAGTGTCTGATGGTAACTGGTTAGGAGACTGACTCCTTCAGTATCCTAGGACTGTAGCTCAGCCAGGCTGGAGGTAAGACTATATGTCAAAGTAAAAATTTTTTCCAGAGTAAGGAGAGCAGCTTTCACCCTCCTGACTTTGCAGAAAAGGGAACTGCTAGGGGTGCTGATGAAAAGCCACCTGCCTCTGACTCCTGTGGCCTCCTCAAGCCACAATTCTACCAGGCAGCACCTGTGCTCCCTAGTGGGCTATCTGAAAGTCTGCACTACCCATCCTGTGGGTGTGTGCAGTACATATTCATTGATGGTCACTACAGAACACAGAGCTAAGTTGACTCTTGTTTGAGATAGTAACTTGTAGCCCAGGTTGGCATTGAACTCACAGTACTACCTCAGTCTCCAGAAGGCTACCACACCAGCTCTTGATAACTGATTTCTGCTTCATTTATTTTTAATAAAACTCCCAATCTTGCTGGGTGTGGTGGCGCATGCCTGTAGTCCCAGCACTTGGGAGGCAGAGGCAGGCAAATCTCTGTGAGTTCAAGGCCAGCCTGGTCTACATCGTGAGTTCCAGGACAGCTGGGGCTATAGGGAGACCCTGCTTCAAAAAGACAAAACAAAAACAAAAAACCTCCCAATCTTTATATTGGGTGCTGGGGATTGAACCCAGGGCCTTGTGTCTGTAAAGCATGTGTCTCACCATGGCACCACACTCCCAGCTCCATCATTTAAAAAGCAGCTGTTTAAGGCCTGATGAGGGAAGAGGCTGATTCACTGCCTAGTTGACGGCTCTATCTCAGGGCAGAGAAATGCTGCCTTTTGGAGGACAAGCCTCTCCTTGAATTGCTGTATTGGTTTCCATTCATTTGTAAGCACACTGTAAGTTCTTATGGCCTTTGAGGGTGGGATGAGATGACAGAGCAAGCATGAAGAGCACAATTCATTTTTTAATATCCATAATCAAGTGTTCTAAGTAAAAGTACCAGCCTGGGACCTCTGCTTTTGTTGGAGCCTCTGGGTATTTTCTGTTTGTCTGATAGCCTACACCTGCCTTCTGCTGTACACTCTAGGAGCCTGCTGTCCTCTCACCTGTGTTGAGTCTGGGCCCCACACCTTCCAGGTTTCCTGGGGTGCTCATGCCAGGGAGGTAAAGACACCTGTCCTAATGGAGTCACAGTTCCTTACCTGAGCCAGACCTGATCTAGAGCTGAACATCCTGAAGTTACTGGTGGTGAGACTCTGAAGACTATGCTGAGAGAACTCAACCACTGTAGTTTTGTTGTTTGGTAGGGTTTTTTGTCTGTTTTGTTTTGCTTTTGTCAGGGTCTCACTGTGTGGCCTTGACTGTCCTTGAACTCACAGAATCCACCTGCCTCTGCCTCCCAAGTGCTGGGATTAAAGGTAGGTGCTACCACTTACCTTTTGAAGATCATTTTTGATGGGATGATGTGATCTTAGATTCTTACCAACATTCATAAGAGCCCTGTTTCTGTGTTGGGCACTAGGTGTACATGAACAATGGCCAGAGAGTAGGTCCCTCCTTTTTTCCTTCCCTCCCTCTCCAGCAGCTCCTTTCCTAAGGTGCTGGACCTGGATCCTAGTGCTGCAAACCATTTCCATCCCAGAAGAGCTCAAGGCCCTCATGAGACAGGGGCTCCTCTATCTTCTGTCCACTATGAGAGTAGTAATATGCCTCATCCTGAAAGGCAGGTATCTGCTGGGTGAGCCAGTTAGCTGGGTCAGTGACAGAGACAGCCTCAGAGTTCTTAGCTCCTTTATGGCTCAGGTCTGTTGGTCACAAACACGTTCTTTCTAGGTTCCCCCCCCAACCCCCGCAACCAGGCATCCCACTGTTCTGTTGCAGCCATTGCTCCTTTTACAGGCCTAAGGCCACAGCACCATCTAGGGGTGGCTTGGCAACAAAACAGGTGCTTTCCTCAGGGATAGGATGAGTCCCCAGGTCACAGTCAAGGCTATGCTGTGAGTCCTGTTGATCTGTTCTCAAGGAGGCAGGTCAAAAATCACTACAACAGTGTCCTCATGAGCTTTTCTTGGAAGCTGAAGGTTCCAGAATTGAATTTCTACCAGAAAAGCTGAGAGAAAAGTGGGGAGAAGGCTACAGGAATTCAGTGGATGGCCCAGGTGCCTGTCTTAAGAGTGTACATGAGATACCCCTACTTTAGGGTTTTGTCTGGTTGGTTGGTTGTTTTTTGTTTGTTTGTTTGTTTGTTTTTGTTTTTTATATTTTATTTATTTTTATTTTATGTATGTGAGTGTTTTGCCTGCATGTATGTAAGTGTACTTGTGTCGTGCAAAGCCTGCAGAGGCCAGAAGAGGGTATCAGATCCCTTGGAATTGAAGTTATGGACAGTTGTTAGCTGCTACGTGAGTACTCAGAATCAAACTCAGGTCTTCTGGAAACATAGCAAGTGTTCTTAACCACCAACCCATCATCTCTCCAGTCCTTTGTTTTTTTTGGTTTTGTTCTTTTGTGGGGTTTTTTTTTGTCTGTTTTGTTTGAGACAGGGTCTCCCTATAGCCCCAACTGGCCTAGAACTAACTATATAGACCAGGTTGGTCTTGATCTCACAAAGATCCACCTGCTTCTGCCTTCCAGGTGCTGGGATAAAAGGTGTGCACCACCATGTCTAGCTTAGATACCCTTACTTTTTTTTTTTTTTTTTTTTTTTTTTTTTTTTGTCTTTTTTGAGACAGGGTCTCCCTGTAGCCCCAGGTGTCCTGGAACTCACTATGTAGACCAGGCTGGCCTTGAACTCACAAAGATCTGCCTGCCTCTGCCTCCCAAGTGCTGGGATTAAAGGCCTGGCCTGATACCCCTACTTTTTATTATGTGATGCACACTGGAAAGCACAGCAGGATTGCTGGAAGTTCAAGCCAGTCTGGTCTACATAGCCAGGGCTGTATACATAGTGAGACCTTGTCTCAAAACAAAAACAAAACAAAACAAAAAACTCAAATCCTAACCATGCTCATTCAAATACACAACTCATTGACACCACATATTCATTTGTGCAAACCCCTCACCCGGCAGTATAGAAAGGCATCTTTTCTCCACACTTCACTATACCGTATGTCATTTCGAGACTAGCCATCTAACCAGGTGTACGATGGTACTGATTGGTATCTTTTTTTAGGGAAATGACTTTGCCCTATTTTTATTTATTTATTTATTTATTTATTTATTTATTTATTTATTTGTCTTTTTGAGACAGGGTCTCCCTGTAGCCCCAGCTGACCTGGAATTCACTATGTAGACCAGGCTGGCCTTGAATTCAGAGATGTGCCTGCCTCTGCCTCCTGAATGCTGGGATTAAAGGTGTGTACCACCATACCCAACACTTCCTATGTTTTTTTAAAATGCCCAATTCCAAACCCACTTGGAGAAAGGTTATTTTGGTTCTTGTTTGTTTGTTTTGGACAAGTTTCAGGTAGCTCTAGCTGGCCCTGAATTTACTATGTAGTCAAGGATGACCTGAGTTCCTGATCCTCCTGTGTCTACCTCTCAAGTGCTAGAATTACAGGCATGTACCACCAACTGGCTTACAAGGATTATCTGTGAAAGGGATGAAACTAATGTGTCTTTAAGGTTTAAGCTGGAGGGGTGAGAGGAGCATGTCCAGCCTGGATACATACTGAGACTATATCTCTTTTTTTAAAAATTTTATTTATTATATATATATTAAATTTTGTTTATTATTTTTATTTTATATGTATGCCTGTATTGCCTGCATGTAGGTAAGTGCACCCACGTTGTGCAATGCCCACGGAGGTCAGAAGAGGCCGTCGGATTCCCCCGGGACTGGAGTTACGGACAGTTGTTAGCTGCCATGTGGGTGCTAGGATTTGAACCTAGGTCTTTTGCAAGAACAACCAATGTTCTTAACCACTGAGCCATCTCTCCAGCCCCGAGACTATATCTTTAAAAACAGTTTGGAGCACTTGGGAGGTAGAGGCAGGCAGATCTCTATGAGTTCAAAGCTGACCTGGTCTACATAGCAAGTTCCAGGCCAGCCAGGGCTACATAGTAAGAACCTGCCTTAAAAAACAGGCTTGAGCAGTACAAGTAGAAATGGTCAAGCTCTGATCTTGCCTGTAAATTAAGTGTTCAGTGCTGCATGTTCCCACCAACATCCCATCCCAACATTCCCCTTAAAAATGTCATACCCTCAAGATAGAGTAAACATAAATTCTCTGGAGAGCTCTGCAAAGGATTAGCATATATA